AGTCGTTTCCCCCTCGGGACCGACTCTTACCTCGTAACCGAAAGTCACCGCCATGGTGGCGATGAAGATGCCGAACAGCAGCTCGAGCTTCCGCAGGCCGTACCGGTCGATGAGCAGGACAGCTCGATCAGGCAGGATCGATGACGTGCTTCTCGGACTTGGGGCCAGGCCAGGGTGGCGGGGTGCCTTGACCCGCAACCCGCGGCCTCCGACACAGCATTCCACGATGGGAGTGAAATTTTGACGAGTAACGAACCAACAAAAGTTTACGCAGTGACTCGTCGACCCATAGTGGCGGTGCTCATGACTTCTGCCTCACTTTCCAAGTTTGTCCCTTAGTAACACGACGACGGACACTGAAAGTCGCATGACAGTTTGGTGTCGTGGAAGTCTTGCCGAACACCCTTAGAGGGAGAGCCCCTCACCCCCCCTTACCCCCTCAAGGCAGATTTGCCGGAGGGACCCTGGCATGTGTAGTAGTTTTTTGCAGCGTAATACAAGGTGGTTTACAGACCCCTTCCTTTATTTTGCTTATACTGTACCGCATGCAGGGGTGCGGGCGGGCTTGCCTACCGCAGCTCGCCGTAGCTCCTTATGGCCCCGTGTGAGTATGCAATCCGGCCGCACGCCTGCATATTGAGGTGAGGCGTGTTAGTGATTAAAGCGTCTCGATATTTTAAAAAGAAGATCTATATTTCTAGAACACATTTCGCAGAGTACAAAAATTGTTTCTTAAAACTAGGTAGTTTCTGTTTAAATTAAGGGTCGCTCATATTTGACATTTTAAGTGCAAACAAAATGATATTCACGTTATTGTTTACATGGCAGCCACTTCATACTTTCATCCTTGTGTTTTCTACAGATAGCATTAAGTGGTTTCTTTTTACAATCACAGACGTTCCTTAAATCTATCCAGACTCTAGGTGATCAGTCAATAGAGCCCCTCCCTCGGCAGCGTTGCTCTACAGCTCCCCCTGTTCTGTTACGGGAACCGTTCTTGCGATCTTTCTACCGTGGTCCCGCTCCCGCTCGAGTGCAGGTCGCCGAGGGTAGGCTCTTGGTCTAGTGGATACACCATCTGCACGGGCTCCGGGGGCGGCGGAGGCCTGTAGACGTACTTTCTGACGAACTGAACAAGTAAAATAAAATGTGGTGGTCTTATGAAGTCGGCTCGTGAC